TTTTGTTTGAAATACCTGGTGTGGCTTCTGTTTTCCTGACTGAACCATCTTTGACACAGATAGAATTAGCAAAAGATATGTAATATTTTAAAATTTAATTTAGTTTTTGCTGGAAATACACAGCAAAACCTGCCCCCATTCCACAATTTCTAGACATAATGATCAGTGACATTGGTTACATTCTTCACATTGTGTCAACATTCTTGTTATTTCTGTTGTAGTTGTTTTACTTCCACTTAATTAATCTGTCTGCTCCCTGACTTTCGCATCTATGCTTTAAAATAGCTATTGACCCTTTGGTCTTATGTGGATAATTTTTTATATTTTTTTGGAAGAAGCTCCGTACCTAAGGATGGCAGTCATTACTTTTTGGGCTAAACTGTTACTTAGCTTAAAGGTGACCTCAAGGGATAGTTCCAGTTCAAGGTTTGAAGAGCAACTCAGGGTCATAGTCTCAGGGACTCCTCCAGCCTCAGTACGACCACCATTAGTTCTTCTGGTCTCGAGGTGGAGGCGGCAGTGGTTCTGTAGTCTAGTTCCTTCTCTGATTCTTGCGTTTCTTTCTTTCTCTTTTGTTCCAGACAAATAAAGACCAATAATTGTATCTTACATGACCACCCATAAGCTTTTAAGACCCCAGACACTACTCACCATAGTGGGGGGTAGAACATAAACTTTTAAGTACTATGATTATAGCCGGAATAAAGGACAACTATGGTAACTACTATAGCCTAGATGATCCTGTAAAAATAGTATTAACAATGATCTCCGAATGGATGCATAGATAGATATGCCAAGAGGTGAGGGGGGTGGGGTAAGGGAGCACACCCATCTGCAGATACAGGTTTGGTGGTTGGAAATTCCTAGACACATGACTGTAGGTTCTTCTGATGTATAAATATAGACAGTAGAGCACACAAGTGGCACAGTCAGGGAAACCTCTTAGACATAACTAAACATCTTGCAGAATGAAGTTCCCAGGCTTGAAGGTAAAGGACCATAGACTCCAGGGACATCTATGTCAATTGTTACAACATAGTTGTTAAAGACAATGTTCTGCATTCTACTTCGGTGAGTAGCATCTGGGGTCTTAAAAGCTTGTGAGAGGCGATGTAAAATACAACTATCGGTCTCTTCTAATCCAGAACAAAAGAGAGTGAAAAAAACTAGAGACTCAAGGGGGCAATTAGTCCAAAGGACAAATGGACCACATGAACCACAGCCTCCCCAATCCCAAGACCAGAAGAATTAGATGGTGCCCGGTTACCACTACCAACCACTCTGACTGGGATGACAACAGAGGGTCCTGGAGAGAGCAGGAGAAAAATGTAGAACAAAAGATCAAATTCACAAAAAATGACCCGACTTACTGGTCTGACAGACTGGAGGAACCCGCAAGACTATGGCGCCCGGACACCCTTCTAACTCAGAACTGAAGCCACTCCCAAAGTTCACCTTTAAGCCAAAGATTAGGTAGGCCTATAAAACAATAACATGTGTGAGGAATATGCTTCTTCGATCAGTCAAGTATACAAGACCAAATGGGCAACAAAGACGAGATGGTGGGAAGGAACAGTAAAACTGGATGAGTGGAGCTGG